TTCCAGCAGGTGGAGGGATCCTGGACTAAACATGAGCACCCGGTCGACATTCCCGTCACGGTGCGCCTACCATATTCTGATGATGGCATCCATGTCCACATGGCCACCTACAAGGTCATCAGCCTCATCTTGCACCAAGGTCAAGGACATGAGAATGGGCACTACACAGCCATTCACTGTCTGGACAATGCCTATTGGTTTGCTGATGACGACCAATATCCGGTTCCGCTACCGCAGCTCCAACAGGCACATCTGGCCCAAGTTGTTCAGGTTTGGCTCATCCTGGAGACCTTGGACGAGCTGCAGCCGGATGCTCTGGAAGCTTGGGAGCCGGTCCTTAAAAAGCCAAGGACTCAGTATGAGACCCTGCGCCTGTTCTTTGGCAATGTCACCAACTTTGGTCACAAAGTTCAGGATTGGGTTTGGACCAAACCTGATCATCTTCTCTTCCTACAGGAGACTCACCTGGGAGCCAAAGCACTAGAAGGGGCCTTGCAGTACTTCACCACCAGAGGATGGAAGGCCTATGGCGTTGAGGCCAGCCCCACTGGAAATGGAGGCACCACGGGAGGATTTCTCACACTCCATGGCCAACGCCATCTGACTCATCATGTTCAAACCTACACCCAGGAAGGCAATGGATGGACGGCATTGGGCCTCCAGCGAGAAGGGACCCTCATCCTGCTCATCCAGGTCTACCTCCGCTCCGGGGAATCCTTGCAGTCCCCCTTGAATGCAGACCTGCTCTCCAAGTTGCTCAACCTGCTGGATCACACCCATGCGCCTTTCATCATTGGAGGAGACTGGCAGAACTCTCCGGATTCCATGGCGGCCACGGTGATCCTGAGCAAATTCAATTGCCAGATTTTGGACACTCAGCAGGCCACCACTTTACATGGATCACAACTTGATTACCTGCTGATCTCCAATGCCCTGCTCAGCTCGGTACAACTCACGGCTGATTGGGAAGTGCCGTGGAAACCACATTGTGGGCTCGCTCTCACCTTGAGTTGCGACTCTCCGGATGTGGAAGTCCAGCAGCTACAACGTTTTCCGCCTATCGGCAAGGTGCACTCCTTGCCTCAGTGCTGGACATCTTTCCAAGAAGCCGACGGCCCCTTTTCCATCGCTGGCATTCCCATCACTGGCTTGGGCTCCGATTTAGCCCGATGGGCGAGTCAAACTGAGCAATACTTGACCCAGTTGTTGCACAATCCTACACAAGGACGAGGCCATCACATTTTGATGAGATCTGCACCTCTGGTTGATCATATCAGGCCGCAAGTCTGGAAGAAGGGTCAACTTGCTTATTGGGAACGCATGGCCGTTCGGGTCAACATCTTGCACCACACACACCATCAGAAGGTTGCTACCGACCTCCTCAATATGCTCCAAGCTTTGCCTCAACAGGCAACGGATGACCTGGCACAGGACCTGTTCGCCACCTTGCTGAACACTTGGGTTCAACAGCCTCAAAATGACCCGACCGAGCTGAAGCGGATCATCCAGCAGCAGGAACAACAGGCCCACCAAGCCCTTCTCAGTTCTGGAGGTGCCGAGTTCAAAGCCTGGTTGGAAAAGGCTCACACTCAAGGTCTCCGAGGACTTTTTCGCAACCTCAGGCAGAAAGATGTTCCGTGGCAAAGGCCCTTCCAAGACTTGCCAGCTTTGGACAGAATACGAGCACGTGAACAACAATGGGGTGAGATCTGGTGGCCATCAGACGGACCATGCCACATCAGGGGATACAATGCTCTCACGGCCGCCGCCCGACATCATGCCCTGAGTATGCCTCCCATTGACTCAGTGGTACTGCAGAAGGTGTTGCGGAAACTTCCCAACAAAGCTGCAGGCCCGGACGGGATCTCCTATGACTTCCTGCGGCACCTACCGTATCCGGCAGTGACCAGACTCGCTCAACTCCTCACTGAGATGGAGGCCACGGCTACCTTGCCTACGCAGTTGACACTCACCAACATTGTCATGATCCCCAAGAACTCCAAAGTTGAAAGGCCCATTGCCTTGACCTCCTGCCTGTACCGTGTTTGGAATCGATACCGCAAGTATGACCTGCAGCGATGGCAACTGACTCTTGATGAGGAACTTCCCTGGGATAAAGCGAGGCCCCACCAAGATTGCCTTTCGATTGCCATCGGCCGTATGCTCAAATCCGAAGTCTCCAAGCACCATGGTATTCACACGGTTTCCTGCCTGGCAGACTTGTCGTGCTTTTACGACACCGTCAATTTGGACCACATCATCGAACCGGCCAGGATCTTGCAATACCCAGTGGTGCACCTCAAGCTGGCTTTGGACCTGTACACAGGACCTCGCACCATCCAAGCCGAAGGCATCAGTGGGGAACCGAAGCACTACCACAGAGGGATCCTCCAGGGCTGTCCTCAAGCCCCAGCCATCTCCAAGTTGATCCTTTACAAGCCCCTGAAACAATTGGTACAACAACATCCGGCGGTGGCCTTACAGACTTGGGTTGATGATGTCTCGTATGATGTCCAAGGCCGTGATCCAGCCTATGTTGCCCAAGAAGCCCTTTTGGCCTTCAAGACCTTCAAAGCCGAGCTTGAAGCGGCAGGACTCAAACTGAACACGGACAAAACTGGCTTCATCACCAGCACCAAAGAAGTCCGGAAGGAATTGGTGCAGCTCCTGGGCCCTGATGATCCAGAACACTACGATGTTCTTCGGGACCTCGGGGTGGATGCAACTGGGAGCCGGAGGAGAAGGGTGATGCAGGTCAAGAAACGCTTCACCAAAGGTAGTGCTCGCACCGGGATTCTCCATCGTCTTCGTTTGGCACCCACCACACGGTACCGGCTTCATCGAGGGGCCATACACCCGGTAATGACTTGGGGCGCTCAAGCCAATGGGTTGTCTCCTCGAAGGCGACAAAAATTGAGAGTCCTTGCAGCTCGAGGTCTTCGGCTACAGAGGAGCGGCTCTGTAGATGTGGTGTTTGACATGCACCCCAAGCTTCCAGACCCGGCTGACTCCATCATCTGTCAACATCTGCACACTGTGTGGAAGATCTACCATGCCTTCCCTGAGAGTGCACAGCATCTCTTCTGGTCCAGCTGGAACATTGCCTTGGGCGCTCTTCTCAAGGTTCGATACAGATGGCAAGTTGTCTCTGGACCAATGCAGGCCTTGCAAGCCTATTTGCTCGACTATGACTTCGACATCCACGATGGCAAACAATGGAAGAGGACGGGCTACGGAGGCATTCCTGACTGTGTCATTTCCCTTGAGGATTGCTGGCCGGTTTTGCTCCAGAAGCTCACTGCGGAGTTTAAGTGGCAACGTTTGCTCCGCCTGACCAGGTATGAGGGCTGCCATGACCTCGAAAGGCAGTTAGATTGGACGACCAGTTGGAGACTCCAAAAGTCCACAAGTGAGCGAACAGCCACGGCTTTGAGAACCTTCCACCAAGGCACATTGCATGGTCAGCAGGGCACCTGCCCCCTTTGCGACAAAGATCTCACCTTTGTGCACTTGGTTTGGGAATGCCAATACTGGAAAGGTCGAGTCAAAGATCTACTGAGCAATGGAAAGAGCGTTTGGCAGCCGGCACCGAGCCTGAACTCTGGAACCAAGGAATGGTTCAGTCCATCTTCTACCAGGTAGAGACCGGCATGGGGTCCTTTGAGGGCACTGGCTACTGGCACACGCAGGAGACCCTCGCCTTCGGCACGGGCCATGCTTTCACCATTGCCTTGGCGCCCACCTGTCAGGACAGTCGACATAAGCGTTTCTGCTTTGCCATTGCAGTACACCGCATTGCTGACAGAGAGCTTGTGGCCTCACTGACTGGGGTCTGTCCAGGTCAAGTCTCCAAGCATCGCTGCCTCTTTTACGCCTTGAAGCATCTCGCTCTACATGTCAAAGAGAAAATCCAAGTCGCCATCTATGACCATCAAGTGTGGAAGCATTGGACACCACATCAAGCCTATGAGCACTATCCGGACCTCTTCACGGGCCTTGAGTGCGAGGACTTCGAAATGGTCCGACCGCTGCTATTTGCAAGGAAAGAGCTCAAAGAGAATCCACTCCGGAGCTTCCTGCACCTTGAAACCACCAAGCTGGCCAAAGCAGCGGCAGCACGCCACACCCCCACGGCCATCTTGGATCTGCAGGCCAACATCGACGAAGATGCTGAAGCCATTCTTTTGGCTGCGGCTGGCAGAATTGAACACCTGCTCACGGACAAGTCCCACTACTTCCACAAAGGTGGTGGCCAGGACTCCTCCAAAGTCCCTCTCATTCAGCAAAAGAAGGAGCTCCTCAAGGAACTGCTTGCCAAGCCCAACCAAGGCGGCCACAGCTGGATCCCTTTCCGCTCGGGCGCGTCTTGTCAGCACTGCAAAGCTCGCCTTCACTCGAAGAGCCTCATTCAGGAGCTCCGAGATGCCTTGGGGTCTGACTGTGTCGCGAGGATGACTCAACCTGTCAAGCGCAAGACGCGCATGGAGGTCATTGAGGACCTGATCCAAGCACAAACTGAGGAGATTCCAGGTCAGCACGTCATCTTCTTGGACCGTGCCTACGTTCGCTGCCGCAAGTGCAAAGGCTATGTCCTGGCCAGAACTTCTCAGGAGAACTTCGACCACTGGCTTCACGAGCCATGTGTTGTGGGACCCATTCCAGAAGAGCAGTGGCAGGGGCACCCATCGCACAGGATGGAAAGGTGCGGCAACAAGGCCTTTTGCACCAGGTGTCACAGCCGCACCAAAGTGCAGGACAATGAGCCTGAGCTCACGGACAAGCTCCGCCAACGATGTCTGTTGGCATCCGGCTCCCAGGATCTAAGATCCTTTTTCGGCTAGCACCCATTCGCACATCAGAAAAGGCGCGCAAAAAAAAAAACTTACTTATAATGAGTGCATACATTCGCCTTGTTTTGGCAATTTTGCTTGTTGAACCTCGTTGATGTTGCCCAGAAACCCCTCAATCCCCACTTCCCCCACGCCGCTGCGCCAGGTGACAGTCCCGTGCCCGCCGAGTGCATCGAGATCTTCTTCTTCGGCTTCACACGGACCCGGGACAAGGAGGACTGGTCCGAGGCCTGTGGCCAACTGGGGAGACAAGACCTACGTCCGGGCATGGCATCCACTTCGAAAAACTATAAAGCCTTGGACATTAAAAGGACTCACATGAATATTGACATATGCATATATGGAAGAGAGGCGTCTTTTTCAGAAGGCATCCTCCTTTCGATGGGGGAAGCCATATAAGAACCTGTTGAGGTCCTTTATATGATGATGTGGTGCTCTTTTTCGGGGGGTGCACGTTGACTCTTCCGCCTCTGTGCCACCTAAAGGCGCCGGGGTCTGGTGACACCGGGATCGGAGTGGACACCGGGCGTGGTCTCCCGGGGGGCTCTCCCTATACACACCCATGGTGGAGATGAACATCATAGAGATTCAAAGGAGCTGTTCTGGGTTCAAAGAAGATGTTCGGGGGAATGATTGGGGTCCTCATATGCTGGGGTTCGACACGTTTGATCCTCAGAAGTTTCATGATGTTGAAAGATTCTTCTGTCGATTGATGATATGTCTCGCTGTTGCTGCTTTACCATGTAAGCTTTGGCAACATCAAGATTTGGAAGACTTAACAAGTATTTTACTCCTTGTTGCATATTTGGTACTCTTCCCCTTCCACCCTATGTTGGTGTATTTAATTGACCATCCTCATTCGTCAAGGCTTTCAAGTGGCGTGGCTAGGCCATGAAACACACCACCCCACCTCCCACATCTATCAACTGGCTTCACAGGCCGTCCTTCCTGGGCCGGCCCGGCCTGCTTGTGCACCACGGCCTGGCATGGAGTCCCCGTGAGGCGACTGAGGTGACGCCAAAGCATCACCGTCAGGACCCTGCAAGGGGTGTCTATAAATAGCGGGTTAAGGGGTGGTCCAAAAACCACCTGTTGGAAGGTCCTATTAATAACATACAATTTTGAAGGGCCGGGCCCCAATATGAAGAATCATAGTTGATTGAATTTCATTATCCAAGTGCCCTGGCCCCAATATCCAATCCAACTTAAAGTTTTCCTCATATCGGGTAAGAAGACGTGCAGTTGACTCTTGAGGTCATTGTGGGCTGAACAATTCAATCAACGGATGCACATATTTGAAACAAACGGGTTTGAAACACATGTGCTTTTGCTTACAAACCGCTTTCCGCACCAAAATTGCATTCACAGGGTAAATTAAAGAATGGAATTAGCCGGAACAGATGTCTCAAATGCTGCGTTTTAACCTGTTATAAGCAAATAGACACAGACTCTTGCAAGAATGAAGGTTTTACTGCACAAACATGGTTCTGTAAAAAGTAACTTTTGCAACGCTTAACAACATACTACAAGGAACTATTTGGTGTACCAGAAGACAAAAAAGTACTTTGAGTTTGTCACATGTTTTCCATGGTATTTCCTGCGCAAGGTGACTAGCACTCAAATGTTCGAACATTGTTGCAACCAATGATGTCCGTTTGGATAGAATACAAAGGTCGATTTGGGACCATGTACCTATATAGGTTGTTCACTTGGGGATATCCCCTCTTTTCATCAACCAGCCTATAGGAAAGGGCCGTTGCAACTCGCAAACTTTCGGCAAGGCCCGTAAAGGTCCTCATGACATCCAATCAGCAATGTCCGTAGGCTATAGCCCAAACTTTTGCTTGAGTGCAGAACAGTTTGCATCGGTTTGTGCCTGAATCCTAGGAATCAGGTGGGGAGGTTAGTGCCAAATGCCTCACATCCTGACAACTCCTAGCTCAAATCACAACACAATGGCAAACCCCTAAGCCAACATAGTTCACCTGCCAGACACGCCATGCGCCACCCGACGGTGCGATCTGGCGCGCGCGCGGCGCGCGGCGCGCGAGCTGGCACGCACGGTGTGTGCCTGGTTGCAGTTAGGGCTTTCATTGTTGGATGACTTGGAGGTATCCTCGGCGCAGGTCTGTCTTAGGCGTTCTGTGCGGCGCAGGTCTTGCGTCACAGTCGTTGTTCTTTGCCATGCTGCAATCTTGTGGAATTCACAGGCAAAGCTAAGGAAGGATCCACAAAATTAACATTGCAAAGGTCATAAAGGTCATATTATCATATTTCACAATTGAACCAAAAAAAACACAGCAACTCATGTGCACTCGTTCCTCTCAATTCGTGAAAATGCGGTGTCTTTGCCCCGGATCTTCAGCCCCTATATAGACCAGCACACGCGGTGCACCATGTGGGTTAAGCGGGTGACCCTGTTTGACCACGGAATCCACCTACCAGGGTGAAACGAGCAAGGCCATGACCCACAGTCAAATAGATTTGGGCAGAACACCTTCTCGGCCTGACCTTCCGAATCTATACTATATTTTGGGTCTGTCCTATTACCTGGGCCTCAGTGGATGATGATGGTTAGGTTGCAGGCCTTGTCCGAAAGTAGTGATTTGCTTGTTTACTGACTGTTACAGGGAAGAACGGACAGACCCTAAGCGTATTGGATGGCACAGGGGCACACGTCTCCCATGTGTCCAAGGACATCCGTGGTGGCCATCGAACCTCTGAAAGCACTGTAATAAAGTTGTGAGCTGTAGTGTGGTATCACTTAGGTGTTGTCCATCCACCTGTGTGCAACTGGTCTCTTGACTCAGTGCGGAACGAACCAAACTCGGCCTGCAAGGTGGACAAAGCTTTTTGGATGAGGGCCAAGGTCCAGTCTTCAACGACACCTCCAAGCAGTGATCAACGTTAAAGGTTGCTACGTTGCCATCTTTGTGATCCAGCATAAACACCCTATCCCCCTAGATTCAACCCTAGAGACACTCCAAACATCAACGAATCCATAGGTACACCGTGGGCATGAGCTCCTTTTGGGAGATTAGATGCTGCGATTTGGAGGATCGAGAAGACTTCGGATGACTGTATGAGGAAGCAACTGCACGGTTCATCCAGGGGGGTTCTCATGGTTCATCCGGGTTGGGTTCATCCGGTTTCAGCCTCTGCACACCTGCCGTGTGCCAAAAAGAAACAATTCCAAGATATTCGAAAAGCTTCCATCATTCAACCTATAGAATTGGTGATCCGCGCTCCAAAGACCAACAAAGACTCAAAACCTCAAACATCTGAAACACCTCCACGCCTCGCAAGACATCCACAGAACGGTCTACGGTCGAGGCTCAAAGGTCTCAAAGGTGTCTAAGGTCCCTTTGAAGCGAGGACTCTTCGTGTTCCGTAGCGCTTCCTGACAGGTCCGGGTACGCAGTCCCAGTCCCAGCACCCGTATGACTTGAAGTCGGGCGGTCCGTGTTGCACTGAACTCATCGGTTTGAACAAACAGCTGGCACCGGTGTGAAGCCAGCCACCCATGGTGCCCATGTGACTAGAGTCAACGGTTGGACGAGACACATCAGCATATCAGCATATCGATACAAATCAACAAGGTACAACTGGAGGGAAGTTGACTCTTGGAACAGGAATGAAAAGGGTGTTTCATGGTGTTTCTTTTTCATTGTGGTACACAATGAATCCCAGTTACCCTTAATACCCGTATAGAGTATGAGTATATAGACATGTTACATGTTATACTGACATGTTAAATGACCAGGAATTCTACAATCCATCTCTGGATCTCTGGAACTACTAGCATCCCAGAATCAGTTGGAACAATCCCGGGAATGCGTCTCCCTACTTGCTTTCAAAGGATGCGTTTGATGAAAAGCATCTCACAAGCTACCTGCAATGGAGGTGGAGGAATTTTGGCTACTTCCCCAGGCGAACGGGAAAACACCAATCACCGAAGTCAGGGAGATCGACCCCAATCTGCGCAGTCGCTGAAACCCGCCAAACCGCTACATTGAACATGTGGTGGAGCTCCCTACACCTGCTACAAGTCTGCTTAGATCATGTTGCCAATCAATCACCTTGTCTCCCCCAAAGCCTCAAAGTACCAGGAGTTGTGAGGCAAATCACAAGCCCTTCACATCCTGCGTCACATCTCCCTTTCCAGGCCCCCTCCCCTTCCCGACTCCCTTCCACAACTCAGTTCCAACCCGCGTCGGTCAACCCCGGGCGCACCCTCAGCAGCGCGGAGTTGGAGTCCATGCGATCGATGACCTCTTCGAGGCGCGCGCCCGTGGCCACGTCATCCAAGCGACGGAGGATCTCCGCCAACCTGCACAAGACAGACGGCGGGTCGGGCGGCGGGTCACAGGGCGACGGAGCAGTTTAACATGCTTTTTGATGAGAGCGCAAGATCTCTATACATTCAGTGAAATCATTACGGCTAAAGCTCGCGGAAGTGCCATCCATCGCCAATATTCTGGTCAGACTTCACCAATTCGATGACGCAGTCGTGAGATCTTCCGACAGCTTCAACACCAAGGGACTGGGCCACCACAGAGTCCGTGCCAGTTTGAAGGCACCACCTGGATCTGAAGGGCAACAAGTAGCAGAACAAATGACCATTTATCCGCACAAGACCACAGACCTATCCTGCCAAAGCAACAGTGATTCATGACTGCTTGGTGGGGTCAACTCACTTGAACCATAAGGAACACATTGGTCAGTGGGTTCAATCATCCCAAGTAAAGGTTAAAAAAGACAATTAACATATCTGACTGATCATATCTAAAGCCCCCACCACCCAGGTGATCTGTTCTATCATCGCTGCATCTTAAAAGCTGACAAGATCCATGGCATCCATCCCCCTTTGGTGGAACTGGGAGGGGTAAAGAATCAGGGAGTGGAAGAGATCAAAAGTGGGGGCTTTGAAGACCTCGATCTCCATCTGAATCTCTTCAATTTGAAAAACATATCCAATTATCAGCAATCCCCTCCTTCCCTCCCATCCCATCTACCTCATCCTCATCCCGATCTGGCCGGAACTACAACATGCTTGCAACGTTTACATGTGAGAAACAAGGACCACCCCGAATTGATGGATCCACAAGATCCTGAAACGCTACGTATACCTGGATCCTCCTTTGGGCGGAAAAAAGTGCCGGATCTCAATCCGGCAAAATTTTCCGCCGGATTCCGAAAAAACCGCCGGAGACCTGAAAAAACATCCGGATCCAAGATTCTGAAAAACAGAGATGATAAAAGGCTGGATCATACACAAGCAAACTGCCTTTGCGCCACAAGTAGTTTTTTCTGGAACACACTCATTCCACAACCCAGCACTGGAGCCTTCCCGTTCCCATTGCCCTCGCCCATCTTCCGAATGGCCTAAGAGCAGAACCATCACAAAATATAAGCAAACTTGTGCCCAAGCAAAGACTTCCAAGAAGAAACCAAGGAGTATGTGGCAAGGAACCCCTATTTCTCTGCACCCGTGTCTCTAATTGTTTTTTACAAAGTGGCTCTCCATGATTCTTATATGGTTTTAAATTGTTTTTTATTGCTTGCCTCAGGACGGCCCCGCCAATAAAGTAGCAGCACTCATGGTTCCTGTCGAAACTCTTAGTTGAAAAACTTTTCAAAAGACTGAGTCCAAAAAAATACGCCGGAGTTACGGGAAATTACGCCGGAGTTACGGGAAATTACGCCGGAGTTACGGGAAAAAACGCCGGAGTTACGACGTGCAATTTTTCTTAGCAACTCTCTGCAAAAGATTGAGATTCTGAACAACACATGTTCCACAGCCCAAAACTTGTCCGGCAGGCTCTGCAAACCTGCGCAACTAGAACTAATTATATCCCAGCGCCCCGACATCCTGAAACAATGGGAGTACATCTTTGCCTATGTTCTTTCAGCTTAGGTACACCCACTTGGGTCTTTCAACAGTGCATCGCACTGTACCAATTTCATCCGATTTCACTTAGAAGATCACCTAAACGGATCTGATTGATCCAGTGTGAACCATGCTGAAACCCGTGGAATGAGAAAACAGCGGAACAGGCAAACGAGCACACTTTGCAAGCAAATCATTACCTTCAAAGAAATGCAAGCCACAAAGAATGCAAAGCCTTGAGAATCCACATTTCAAGTGACTTGGAAAAACCGCCGGACCAAATCCAGAAAAACGCCGGAGTTGGAAGTCCGGCGCCGGACCCTGTAAAAGTGCCGGACTGAAGATCTAGGTATATGGACCATATGGATTCCAACAAGAATCCCCTCCGCAGTCCCCGATTCGCAGAGGCTTCTTGCATGCCCGCCCCTGGATGCCTGATTTCAGGGCTGGATTCTGTAGGTTTTTCTCTCCAAGTCACCCTGGCTGCGGTGCAGAGGAAGCCTTGGGCGGCTCGGGCATGTCCTCTTCCAGATCGCTGCCCAACTCATCAATCGAGCTCAGCACGTCCATCGCCCGAAGCGAAGCCAAGGTGGCCAAGCGAAACGGCCGTTTTTCGGGGTGGTGGTCGCGCCCGGCGGTGCGGAAGACTTGAGGGTGCCAGTGACACTGTGGTAGGTGGTGGAAAGGGACGAAATCTTCTGTGTGATCAGTGGATTTCCACACCTTTGCAGCGATACATGATTGGTTTCAGTGTCTCCCTACCGTTACATGATATACAGCAAATCCGGTGTGATGATGTTCTCCAAACTGCTATGCTGCTTGGCGACTGAGGCTCTCTGCTACACACCCCCAACCTGAACATTGGCCTAACAAAAACAAAGATTCAAAAGAATCTCCCAGCGAAGAGAATATAGCCTTTATGTTGCCCTTACTTCAAACATCAACGACTACGGTGGCTCTAGTGGCTTGAAACTGCTCGAGATCTTCTATGCATCACTCCAGGCGGTTCAGGCCGCAGCTTGAGCCATGGAAGCCCAGGATCTTCTGCAGACCACACCAGCTGATGATCCGAAGTCAGTCCATAGAGACCAAAACCCCGAAATCGGATCCCAAGTGGAATCAGAACAAGATCAATTCCAAATCGGATCAGTTTTGACTTTGGGGAACCCAGGCCGTTCCCAAGTCAGTTTTGATGGTAGTTTTGACTGATCAAAAGTCCAAATCACTTTCTTCTTGAACGACCCTTGAGAATCTGACCCAAACGAACTCTAGAACCTGACCCCAAAGTGGGAACATTGCGGATGAAGAAAAGCACCACAACACCTCCCACAGCCTTCCGGTGTTCACCTCGCAAGCAGAATCAGCTGTGGATCTTCACTTCCTGCTTGCGAGGGTTCAACATCGGCCGTCCAAAGCTCCATGGGTCCTCCAAGTCCTCCGGCAGGTCTCCGGTTTTGTCAGTTTGAAGCCGACGCCGTGGGAAGCAACGGGAAGCAACTCGTCGAACTGTGAACAGGAAGCCAGGATGATGTATAGTTATCGCCTGTGTGTTTCAGTTGATCTGAGTTTAGTTTCTTACTTCCCCAGCTTCCATTCTCAGTTGAATGTCAACGTCAAATCAGCCAGTATTCGCTATAGGTACGTAAGTATTCTTCCATAATATGTAGAAAAAAACGAAAACACCAAAATCTTTATTTCGTAGCCAAATTTGGCAAACCACTCCCCCCCCCCCCGCCTAGAGCCCTCTCGTTCCCACGGTTTTATTTGTTCCGCGGTCGCCATGCTGGCACAACGGCGATCCTCCGTTTCGGAGCCTCAGCTGGGCCAACATCCCAAAACGTGCCACATCGCCACATGCTGTCTGAGTGGATTTGTTTTGGAAAGCCTCTTTGCAAAACATAAAGGCCCAGTTCATAAAGGGGATGAGCCATCATAAGGTCACCTCATCAGAATCCCCATAAAGATTGATGCAGTCTAGTGCAAGCCAACTGGACCTGCTTTTCATTTGCCCAGGAAACAGGTTGTGAGGACCTGGGGGGGTGAGACTTGACCAACTTTGGGTTGCTCATCGACAATCTACATCAGATTACATTAGGATGGGGTCAAAAACCTGGAGCTCCGGTCCACCATGTCACCCTCCCAACAAACGACTCGGTCCACCGAACTCTCCTGCTTTTGACCCCCAGACGACTTGAATAGATCCATTGACCCAGCATAGCGATATACAGTACCCAGGCACCACCTGGCTAAAACTGCCATGCCGCCCCATTGACCCCCACCCCTGGCCGTTTCTCGGCAGTCCTATGGCAGTCCCATTAGTCGTGTCTGGGGTATATATAATTCCCAAACACTCCATGTATGCCATATATGCCTACATTGGGGTGGTTTTGGGGGTCAATGTAGGCATTTATGGCATACATGGAGTGTCTGGGATTAGTAATATAATCCAAATATTCGGGTGTGCAGACAGGGACTGATGGCAGATTCCCAACCCACTTCAGGTTCTGTGGTTCTTTCAATTGCAATCGGGTGAACCATCCCACAAAGACAGTCCGATGGCACAAGGACCCAAATTCAAACCACCCTCCAATTCCCAGCCCCTTTTCAGGTCTTCAAAGGAGAAACTGATGTGTTTGTTCAACAAAAAACACTCACTCTCTCTCTCTCTCTCGAAAACCGGGAACCAACAAAAAATAACAACCGAAAAGCGCCGGTGTTCGGTGCGGCTCCGGGGAACCCGTCGCTGGTCGCAGGTCGTTAAGGTTTGGTCTGACAGAAGCAGTGCTTGGAGACACCCAGCAACGGATCGCCTCCAGTGGAGACATGGCCGAGACGTCGAGGAGGTTCAAGACGAGGTCGGATTTGGGGAGAAGCGAATGGACGAAGTACGAAGCGGATTTGGTTGGGGATCAAACGTGGACAAATGCGAGAAAGTTATGAACAGGATTGAACCGGTTCATAAATACCAGAAAGGCAGCACATACATCTTATTAATTGACTTGACTCATACTGTTGATGGACAAAATCCTGCACCACTGGACGAACAAACTCATGTATACCCTCGCGCTCCCTCTTTAACATTGAGTTGAGGAATGGCCTGAAACAGAAAAAAGTTGAATGACCAAAATCCTGCATCACACATAGCAAACATTGAGACAACATTGAGTTGGGGGGCAGGGGGGTCGTTACTATTGGAGGACCTCATGTGTTGCTTTATCGATGCAGGATTTCGTCCATCAACCGTATGTCATCCAGGACCGTTGTCAGCAATACTTGCCGAACAGTTGACACACTTTCCTCTTCCTTGACCTTTCTACCTTGGACTTGCACCTTCTTGAACACATTTGTACACACCAGAAAAACAAGGGGCTATCACCCTCGAGCATCAACAGGCATGGTATTTGACGGTACAACCTGTTTGTCCAAAGTGAAGAGTCCACACCAAGTGCTGTGACCTCCTCGGAAAACTGACCCTGCGAGCCCACAGCACCCCACGGTCATGTCCGGTAGTACAACCTGTTTGTCCAAAGTGAAGAGTCCACACCAAGTGCTGTGACCTCCTCGGAAAACTGACCCTGCGAGCCCACAGCACCCCACGGTCATGTCCAAACTGATGCTTTGGGTGACGCTCGGACATGGAAGTGGAAGTGGATGACGCCGAAAGGTAAACAACAAACACATGTTAACACCCATGGCCCATGAAATTCCTCCTATGTATGAAACTTAGGTGGTGAACAAATCTACGTCACGTCTCTCTCATGAATCGGAGGTTCCACTGGCTTGCGCACCCCCCGCCGGCTTGCGCCAGCGCCGTACGCGCCGTACCTCCGAAGCCCTGGGGTGAGCAGCGGATCTGTCCAAAGACCTGGGCTGCCCCGGTGCCGGAGGGTTCTTCCTGCCCAAAACTGTCCCCCCCAAAAAGAAGATACCATATATATCTGGAAAATGATGGAAAACAATCCTTAAGAAGTGATAGTTACTTGGTATAGAACAAAGGTGCTGTCTTGGCCTAAAAATCTTTCCTTGATCTTTCTGATTTACACATACTCTGAAGAGTCAGTGGTCTCGTTCTGGCTCTCAAAAAAAACACGTCTTTAAATAAGTGTTGCCTTTAGGATATCTTGAGGTGGAACCACCTGAAGTCCCAACATCCACCAGTCTGAGTAGACTATGCTAGCTGACTTCCATCTTCCGCGTCCTCACGAGGCGTGATCGTTTAGGACCCATACGACGAATCCGTAGAATCACCTTGTGGATCTGTTCAGGCTGTCAAGCCATCCCTGGTCCGACTCCTCCATTGACAAACACAATGCCCCAATAAATGGAATATGATTGAATACTCCTCACTCTCCCCACCCACTGGGACTCTACATCCCTCCATCCCGCCATCAACTCAAAGCGCACCGCGCTCCGCGCGCGGACTCCTCCGCTTCCGAGGAACCATCTGGGCTCGGTAGACCGAGGTCACCGTCTCCGCGAGGCTCAAGACCGACCGCTCCTGGTCGACCGGGTGTGAGTTCGCCGGCGGCCGTCCGCAATGCCAACATGCCAGCGATTTGGCCAGAACATGGGGACACGAAGGCCACAAAAGAAGAATCCGTGGAATGTACGAAGGAAACGTATATGGAAAAATAAGCGCATGGAAAGAATAGGGCTTGGGAAAAAAAACGATGTCCAGGCGGTTCAAGATCTGTTGTAATCTGCTGGTTCCTGGCTCAAAGCCAAGACACCTTGTCTGATCTTCTGGTCTGGTAGTGTGGTGACAAAGTAGAGCCTTGGGAAGTTCCTGGTATAGCTGTTGTTCCTCTAGGGCTGCCCTTCGTCTTCGCACTTTGGGATGTCCGTGCCCAAAGCTTCCTCCAGATTGGGAACAAAAATTGACGAACCTTGAAAAAGATTATCAGCTAGTACACTACTGTCCCAGCACCTCCGCTTCTAACCCCCAAAAGGGTACTGAAACCATGATGTGCGGCAAAACTCGGTAACAGGATCGATCCTCAGGGCGAAGAGGTGTCAAATTCAATGAGTTCTATCTATATTGAATTATTGGATCCCTTGCCTTCTTTGACTAATAGCATGACTGTGGCTGGAAGAACAAAAGAAGAACGATCCACACGGGATTACATGGGGATGTCTAAACAAAACATAACAAAACTGCCATCCCCAAATTCCAAGAAAACAACATATTCACACCCAGCTGAACGATCCTGAGTGGATCTCCTACAAGGACCGCTCGATTCCCGCGTCACCCCATGGATCGTCTATGCTTGAGGGTGAAAACAAGATCCAAAGACTGAATCTTAAAGTGATATATAGATGCCCATGGTGGGTCCAAAGCTCAGAATCGAAACGCTTCGATTGCCACCTGCCACCTGCATGATGCTCAAATATTCTAAACGTTGTCCTTTCTGCTTGTTTTCAACTAAACAAATTCTTGCTTTGATGCATGTTTCAAAGAACTCCATCAGGATCTCAGACCTTCTCCGGTGTTTCCAAAGGCTTCGTCCTTGCCAAACTTTCTGCCGTAGTAGGCCTTCCCTTGACACCGACACCTCAAACACGCGCCAAACACGGCAGCCCGCCCGATTTCCCACGAGGCAAGCCAGGGTGTGTTCCATATGTTGATGGCAAAGTCATGGCGGGAAAACTGTTGAGCAGCAAAGCCTGTTGCTTTCAAAGCAATCAAAGTCTTGTTTTTTCCCACAGACTCTGTCCAACATGGCTGCCATAGCTCACAGCAGAAAAACGACACACGAAACCTGCTTCCTCCCAGCTCTCTCCCCCGCACCCGAAAAAACAATGATGAAACCATGGACCAAGAGCATGGACCTCTATTGGCACCACCAAATCCTTCCCACCTAAGAAATAGAAAACCATGACACAGAAAAGGCACCTCCTTGGCATTGGATAGCGGACGATGGTTAGGTTGCAAGCCTTCCTCACAAACAGTGATCATCTTTTTATCGACTGCTACTGGTATTGGGACACGCCCTACCTATACAAACCCAAATGGCGTCCTGGCTGAAGATCCCCTTGGATGATAGTATTGTGTAGGGTAGTCCAGCCAGGACACCTTTAGGATCCAGGATTGGCTACCCCTGGTGTACCTTACCGACCTGACATCCTTAAGGGTCTAGTCTAGTTCGTCAATCCCCTTTTTGGGGGCTCCACTCCAGGAAAATCCACTGTGCAGCAAAAACAGGGTGATTCAAACTCTTTGTTCTGCCAGGCCACATCTCGCCCTCATTGGCGCAGAGTGTGGCTGGCCCATCATCCGCAGGGCTCTTGGGCGCTTCTCCATGGAGCGCCTTCTGCTGAGTTTGGGCGGCAACCGTTCGCAAGGTCTCCATGGATGCAAATGAAGGGCTTCTCTTATCACGCAAAACTAAGCATAATGCCATATAATGCCCATCTGGTTCGGATTTTGGAGGCGCCCATCCTTGTGTCACATTCGATGAGGGTGAATCCCCAGGAGTTAGCTGGAAGAGTCCACGCAGGAGAGAGAGCTGCCCACCCCAAATCCAGCCCTTCATTCCAGGTGGTGCAAAAAGAAGTGGTATACCTCTCATTCCAGGTGCCTTTCATGGAAACCGTGTGGAGGTGTCCCTTTTCTTCTTGGAACCTGCTGCACTGGGTGCAACTACACATCATAATAGCAGCACATCCTTGAGAAGTCGGCAGTGAACATTTACCGTCCGGTATGAAGGTCCTCCATGTCGGGCACCGCCCATGGTATACCGGACCGGTCATGATAACTGAATTATATAATCTATTAATGAGAAAACATCCTTTGCAAGTCCAAACAGCTAGCAAAGCGGCCATAGAGCTTGAACCTCTTTCTTGGCTCCAATACTTCCACACAACAACGTACGAAGGCAACGATCCCTAGCCTGACCAAGCCCACATATATAGTTAAACGCCTATACATGTACTATATACACCATAGACCACCATATGTGTTCTACGAACGGCATGCTCCAAGACCAGTCCACCAGTCCGCCAGTCCCTTGGAGAAGGCTGTGTTGCCCCTTCAGCCACCCCTTCGTTCAAACGGTCGACCGAGATCTTGACCGACCGGGTCGACTCCGGACGGTGCGCCTGGCAGAGACACTGCTTGGGCCGATTGATCTGGGGATCCGATTCGAAGGATCCCGTGCTGCACGCCTTGGAACGGGAAGACGATGCGTTTTTGTTCGGATTCGTTTTGTTCGTTCTCTTCCTGTTTCTTTTTTTGCCGGAAGGACGGCGCGATCATTTTTCGATCGGTTTCGGGTCACGCGATGCGACATCTGATGGATGGGCTTCTTAGGGGAGAGGTGAAATGAAAGGTTTCCCTCAGGTGGGGCTGGCAGAAGGAGGCAATCCTTAGGGTACATCGGGCACATCCCAAGATGAAAGGGTGCTTAATCTGATGCTACTTGGATGGTATAGCAACAACACCTCCAAAATGCATCCCTCTTTGGGGGGGGTGTCTGAACAGTCAGTTTTGGGTGCACCCACTGATGGTAGTGTAGAAGAATAGTCACATGTAGTTATATAGATTTTTCTAAGACAGGACAGCGCTATCAGCAATAAAGAGATCAACATCAAAGAAAGGGCCACATTGGGGTTTGAGATGCTTTGAGAACTAACATCTTGAATGTCAACATCTGAGACAATTCTCACCCGAAAGCAAGTCAACAACCCAGCCCTTTTCGTTCGTTGCATCGTTCCATCGAATTCCCTCGCTATCGCTTCGCCGAAGGCGCCACGTCGCCATTGACATGGCGACTGCGGTGCTGGGCCAAGGTCATCTCCGACAACGTCAGGCGGTCACCGTCCTGGTGGTTCAGTGTTCGGGTCTTTCCACCGGTCGGTCAAGGCAAACCGAGTAGTGTTGGCGGGTACCATCTCTATATCCCCAGACACGACACATGGGAGTGGAATAGATGCTGCCTACATTGAACCCCCTGGCACCACCCCAACTGATCGGCATATATGGCAGTCCCATGGAGCGTCTGGGTATTTGTATACTGCATTGCTTCTGATGTAAGGTGAGGTTAATACATTATTAATGCATTTCTCCCAAAGCCTTTTGCAAGAAAAAACTCTTTTGGAGCTTCAGTGACCGATCGTGGTACCCAAGTGTGGGATACTATAGAGCCACCCAGAGATTGTTCGACCTTTGTTTGATGAGAAGGGGCATGATGCAGGCATGTCAAATTGAATTTGATACCCAGTCCGTGACACAAACGTTGTCGAGTTGTTCTTTCTACCAGAAGAGAGGTTTGGTCACTTCGCGAATTCAGACTTGATCTTCCATGGATCCTGCCGTCAGTTCCGTTCGGAGTATGTGTCCCCTCCAAGTAGTCTTGGTCAGTCTATCTCATCTTCCCCTCCTGAAGACCTAGCCATGCCATCCAACCTAACCATGTGAGTTCCGTCATCGGAGTGTCTATGAATCTCTTTGGCTCAATCCCTATAGGGCTCCAACCATATCCTCAGGTTCGGTGGTATTTCAACTCCCCCCTGGCACCCACCCCCTGTCCCATCTTCTCCACCCAAAAATACGACTGGAGCCCCAAACAACGGAATGGATCCCATCCTTAGGCATCCCAAAAAGGGTTTAGGGGTACGACTGGAGCCCAAACGGGCAGGGGTACGACTGGAGCCGCCCCATCTTCCCCTCCTGGTCGTTGGCGAACTTGCGGCCGAAGTAGACCTTCCCGCTGCAGCGGCACATCTCCCCCTCGGAGGCACAGTACCTAGCGGCCATACGCGGCGCCCAGAGGCGGAGGCAGGAACGTGGACCCGCCGTGTTGGGCCCAAACGCGTTCGACCCGCTGGGTGGCTAGCTTAGCGGTTTCTATGGGGCCTATAGGGATTGGTGAAATTGTATAAGAATGAGGAGATGTTGATGCAAACAAACACATTTGTGTGTCGTTCATGTGGTGGCTAATCTGGGCTGCTTCGTCGATGGGGATAGATCAAACATAAATAAGACACTTATCCTATGGCACCTGAGTAGATCCTCCAAAATTCCAAATCGAGTCAATCTGCTAGTTTTCAGGTCCCCTTCTACTTTGCAAAACTTGATCCCTGGACCTTCCAACATCTTCTCACCGCACGTCGTGGCATCTTTTTTCCCGGATCCGCCACTCGCGCACGAGGCAGGGCCATCATCCGCCGGCATGTGGGGCAGCGTGATGTTCCCCAAGCCTCAGCGCTCCGCATGTGGGACACGGACCACTTGATGGTGTCCTATTCCTAGGGATCCAGTCGCACCTTCTCAAAAGGTAATTGGACCCTTCAAACCTACATAACAGTGTCGAACACATCACCTTGTGAGAAGGTACGACTGGATCCGTAGGGTATAGCAACCACCTTTTGGGGGCCTGCTCAACAGGTCATGGAAGGAAAAAGAAGGTCCTATACCATTGGACTCACAGCACTGCAAGTAGTTGAATATCTTCCGTCCAATGAGGGCTTTCCAAATCTAATGCTTCTAACAAATAAGGTGATGATTGGGGTCTTAAGTGGCTTGTGTCACTATTTCCGGTTGCTTTTGATGGGCAGTTCATATGTTTCACACTGACTCCGGTGCTTGTTGCCTGACCTGGCATCTGCTTGGGGATCGAGGTTTGGATCATCACACGATGGGGAACGTGGATGGGAAAATGGCCCTCGAGTTCGGTTTGACCATGTTCCGAAGACCAAACAGGTGGTGGTGTTTTCGTTCGTCTTACTATTTCAGGGAGTAGATCTCTGACAATGAAGAAGTGACATGAAGGAATACTGGACTGACTGGTAGAAGAACTCCTGCACTAAGTGGGACACACACAACATATAGAAAACATAATCGAAATTATGAGCTCAACACTTGAACTTGCTGTATATGCCAGGCCAGCCTCGCCCCCTTTTGAGCTCTCCCGAAAGGTCATGGATCATCGGTCTCTGAGTGGCTCTTTCGAAAGAGAGCGCCCACAAAGAGCTTCGGGTCGAAGATGGCGCTGCCATCGTACTCCCTGGTGAGATTGGGGAGATTGTTGCAGGGTCAAACTGAAGAGCCGCACAGGCATGTGGTGATTGGATGTAGTCGTGAAGCTCTAGGATGTTCTAGGCCGTATTTTCAGAAACGACTTGCAAAGGCCGCCCACAGATGATATCAAGCAAGTCCGGAAGCGCAGCCAGGAGAAGGTATGAGGATGAACTTATCTATTACTCTGTCACTCCCATTTGCTAATACAAAGCTTACGTGTAGCGGAACCACCCACACCATCCGGCTCTGTGGCTATAGCGGCTATAGTCTATAGTTGCTGTCACCAAGAACTTGATTGAGCGCTTCCATGGTCCAGAATGTAATGGCTGTACCTTCTTCCTGCCTGCTAAGGTGCGACATTCACAAAAACATGTCCAGCCCTAGCAGGTGGCTTATTTAGTTGAAAGACCTTTTCAATCTTCCCCCGAAAGTGGAGCTTCTGCCTCCATCACCAATTCATCCTGGAAGTGTCGCCCAAAACGAACCTACTGAGAAACGCTTCCGTTTGGCCAACAACTAACAATTAAACACAATATTAAACCGAACCATATCAAACTCTAAAAAAACTTCCTACGAATGAACCCAGCCTTAAATACTCATGAACCACTTCATGAACCATACAAATACCATGTTCCTCTGATCTGATGCGTACTTCTTCCTGAAGCCCACGGGTTTGCCACACCCAAAACCGCTTCCGCCTTTGAAATCCTTGGGCATTGAAGAGGTGATATGCCAAACGATCCAACGGTGCCTGATCAGCAAGGCACTGGAACAAGATCGGGTACCGCAGACCAGTGCAATCTGGGTGTCTCAGACTTGGGGAAAAGCCCAGTCTGACACGGAACTGTCAGGCGCTGAGACTAGAACCCACTAGAAGCCCTGAGACTTGCGTAGGGTCCTGAGTCTAGCAGCTAGACCCCGGGGATGTGAGCGACCGACAGTACATATGTTCAAGTACCTCGGGGCGGGTTGAAGATGAGGCTCAAGGCCTGTAGCCAAAGATTGGTTTCATGTCCAACATTCCTTCACATATCTTCACATACTTCAGTACGTGAGGCTCTACAAAGGCTCTACATGCAACTTTTTTGGAGCCACTGACGGATAATGGAACACAAAAAAACTCACGCCAGCTAACAAACAATCATCCATTGTGCCATTGTCCCCAGTTGAATATATAATATAATTGCTTTGCACATGGTTTAACTTAAGTAAACAGTGCTAAGCCCTGCGATGAACCATGATGAAACTAAGCCCTGGTTACTGGTTGGCCACTACCAAGAAGGTCAACCTACCATATGACTCAACCAAGGAGGTGTTCAAACCCTATGGATCCACATACCTTCTCAGAAGCTAATTGGACCCTCCAAGCCTACAGTCTCCAATCACCTTCTCAGAAGGTATGTGGATCCATAGGGAAACAATGTTCATTGTTCGTGTCAGTGCAGGATTCCTTCGATAAACCATGGTGCAGTTGTCTCTCTTGAGAGATCTAGTGGTCGCAGTCCTCTTGAGCGGTCTGGTCCTAAGCAGTTGTTTGGTTGGTAGTCCCAATGGAAGGAACAACCACAAAGCATGTTAGACCAGATTGACCTTCAAGGGATCCGTTGCAAGTGCCATCTTCAACTTGTTGCAAGATGTGGGACAGCAAAGAGGCAATGCAATGCAACAAAAAGGTGTTTCCTAGCTCCTCATGTCACACGCAGGCTTCTTGCTTGCGGGCACCAGTTCAACCCCGTGGGCCAGTTTGACCTTCTTCAGTTTCTATATAGAATCCTGTATCTTCGTTGACAACCTCCCAAGAGATTCCCAAGAGAACCCATGCCGGGATGTTTCAAAATACATCCATGTCCAGCACTACCCAAAGGATGGTTTATAGAACCCACCCTGACTATGAATATTCACCATCCGATCACCACCCAAAATGGGCGGTTTTCTTGGTTTCCGTGATTTCTTCCTGCCACTTGGTCGACGTTTCTCTTCTGTCCACCTGGTCGACGTTTTTTCTTCTGAACGCCTTGGTCTTCACCGACTTGAAGAAGGGCAAGGCATCGTTCAGGAGCCGCTTCGTAAACAGCACGGTGCCCATGCCTGGTCTCCGTGCCGACCGTTTCCACGCGCTGCTTTACCCACAGAGAAGGCGCTCAACCGGGTGGGAGGTCCACCGGTGAAGGGAAGATGTCATAGTCGAAAGTAATCAAGGTGTTTTTTTAAAATGTTTTTTCTTGTCTTACATAGTCGAAAATCGAAGATGCAAATATGTCTTACATAAACGGATCCCAAAACACTACATGTAAGACATATTTGCATCCCTTCGCCGTGGTGCCTGGGGCCAATGTGGGCATACTTCTAGGGTTATATTCCATACATGGAGTGTCTGAGTATGTGTAAATTCAGTGTCAATCCAAGCACCGAAGTCGTTGCCGTTGACGAAGCACATGGTGCTGGTGTGAAAGAAATTGAACACATGACCATCTTGCATGTTGTCCCACCGTCTACCTACTGAGGATGGCCACAGATACACAAAACAAACTGCTCTCCCAGAATCAGTTCTCAGAAATGGTGTATATATAGGATAACTTGCTCAAAGATGTAGATGACATGCTTGGCTTCGAGCGAGTGTGGTATGCTCATTCTAGGACGTCCGAAGACAATTGTTCAACTTCTGCACATATGATCTATACCCATGCCCAACTCATTCAGCCAACATCCCCAACTCTCAACAGCATGTCTTCACATAGCCTTGAAGAAACCCACAAAGACATGGGTGCGTAAAATTGCATCTGGTAGACCCCCTTTCCCGCCCCAATCGGCTAGGTAGACCATTATCCTTCCAGGGGGGAAGTCTCCCTATTTGAGCATCTCGTTCCCATATATCAGATTATCAGATTGCACATATATAGAGTCAAACACATCTCCTCAACATCTCCTCAATATACCCATGCTTGAACAACCTGGAGATCCTGGAGTCCGCAACATACCGAAACAAACCTGGAAACACACCAACCGTTACCAACCAGTCACCCTTGGTCCGGTCACTTCAGTGACCCGACCGGCGTCGTACGCGCATTCCCGCGCACCTTCCGGAGCAAAGGACTGGCCATCCTGGTCCGGTGGGTTCGACCGACCAGGTCCAGGGCAGCTGCCGAAAACGAGCCCAAAGAGACTTACCAAAACACCGTCTGCCGAGGTCGAGCCTAAAGAATTGGCAACATATGATGAGAGGAATGTGATGGAAAGGTGTTGTTCAAAAATAGTGATTGTTTACTGTAATACATGTATGATCATCTTGCATTCTGTCCACTTCCGCACAGAAGACAACTACTTCACAGACTTCACATCTGCATGTTCAGTGAACCGTCAGTCGTGCACTGCTTAAGTGTAGATCTCGGTGGTCGCCGTATCATTAAAAAAGTGGCCTCTTTTTCCATGGGGTGCGCCTAATGTGTTCCATCTATTTCCATCCTTCTGTCTACTTCTGAAGGAACTTATACAAGTCAATCCAGTTGTGACCATCTTCCGCCTTCCGCCGTCAAGCAAAAACCAGCCGGCTGGCAGCTAGTTGTCCAACAACCTTGACCCATCTTCTCAAAGAATCTTGGCAATGAAGAGAAGTGACTGTTTTGGTGTTAGTCTTGAATGGAATCTTCTCCCTCACTCCTTCCCATCAAGTTCAATTTGTTTGGCTTCCAACAAAACGGACATGACATTCATTTGTGTGCACTGCCTCCTCTGCATAGCAGAAGCTCTTCATGGATGAAGACATGCCTCAGCCGCTGTGTTGATCGGAGAAACCTGCGAGAAACAAACACGCAACACTTCTGGGAAATTGAAGCTATGCTTCTTACAGGTGCTTTATGTTTTGTTTGCCGAACAGTAAACACCTTCCAAAGTCTCCTCTGAGGACCAATTGCTTGTCTAGTGAAGTGACTGAACACTGTAGAATGCGGCAAAGAACTTTAAGTCTTTAAGTATACAGTCATATGCAGTCTATATATCAGTAAGTCACAAGGGAGCACCTGGATGGGTATCACTATTCCCCCACTTGATTGTCCACCTATTGTTGGCCTTTGTGACATGACTTTGTCAAAACGACAGGAGTCATATTCCTGTACTCGCCGACTCACTGACTTTCAGTGGGTGACATGACCAAGACCTTCATAACTTCATCCCCACCAACCGAAGAAAAAACAGCTCCCCCAGCCACAAACTCTACTCCTCAAACACCTCTCCCACCAAAAAAGTAACACAGCAGAAACCCGCTGTGTTTCTCAAGCCCGCTGCGGACCCGCTGAACCCGTTGGCCATGCATCCTTCAGCATGGCATGGCTTGGCTGGCTTGGCTCCAAGGTGCGATCGAAGACCGGATGGGAGACCATCTCTCCAGCGCCACCCCAGTGCACGTGACACCTGAGGGCGGTCGCCGCAACGTTCCGCGCGCCGCGCCGCAACGAGGACGGCGCAACGAGCCTTTTGTTCCGCGAGGAGCGACGAGGGGAGGACTGGAGCACCGGAGGAGAAGGTTCTCTGTGGAGGATCTTCACCCCCCTCGGAGAGCGGCTATATGTATATATATATATATATATGGACGTGAAGCGCATTGGTTGGAGTGTCTCCCTGTCTTGCACAGCTAAAAATAACGAACTTGCCACCTGGATTTGAGTGGGGTGCAAACCCAATCGTCCCAAGAAAGATGCAGGTGATCCACATACTTCCATGAAGTAGGCTGTTGCATGGTTTTGTGGGGAGAAACACTCGGTGGGCCTTAACGGTGGTCCCAGACCACTCGTGGTGCCTCTGATCTGGCATTGCTTGTTGCATCGGCGTTACATAGGAATCGTGTGAAAGAAAGCTTGGGACTTCATGCAGCTTTGGGTTGACTCTGATCTATTGGATCCGATTTCCTCCTGCCCTGCTGCCTGGAAACACTGATCCAGCTTCATCCAAGTTCTACTTGTTCTTGCCCTACTTGTCACATCCCTCACTCCATTCTCCACTGCTTCTTCTTCAACTCGTTCTCGCCACTCCCGACCAAACCGACTCCCAGGCGCCTCTTCTTGGGATCATCAGGGCAGCAAACCTTGTTCTCGGGACTGTTGGACTCACAATGAGATCTCAAGGCTTCCTTCTGCGCCTCCCAGACCGCCTTCATGAAGCGGCTATGCCTGGCAAAACGCGTCGACGACCCCAGGTGAGGGATGAGAATGCTGGAACATGAAACATGTGGCTAAGAACGAAGACTTTGCTTTTGCAAGTGGGCTAGTAGGTAGGTAGGTGAAGCCTCAGGTGAATCCGTCTAGGATCCCAGTCCACAAAGGCAGGCGTATGCCCATGCAACCGCAAAGTCACGCAATGTCACCTAGCAACAATCCACCCATCTTCAATGCATTGTTTACAAGGGGGACTCCCTATCTCCACACAGTCCTGCCCCAATGGGGAGCTCAGAGCGACCAAGAGGCTTTCTTCCGGCCAAGAAGTTGGAGCTAAAGGCTTTGCAGCTCTTGGTGTGGGCATAGGAGATCAGGTCATAATCACCCGTGACCTTGTCCTCGGGCATGTTTTGGGCTGCGCGTAGCAAACAACCACGAGAGGGCATTTAGCATCATTGAGCTGTACCAAGGGCGGCTTCAAATTTCGGATGTTGGGGTTCTCAAATATGTTGAATTCTGGCACAACGGGGCAAGCCATTTTCCACAAAGAAGACCTCCTATACTATACGCAGTCCATTACATCTGTGCGACGGATTTCATCGGAGCCGTGATGAAGGGGTAAGACACGGCATGTTTCGTCAGTGAGCAAGGACCAAGCGTCTCAGATGAGGGGGGGGTTGAAGCCTTCAGCCCAGTGACTGAAGCCTCCAGCTTCGCTGGAGGCTTCTGGCCCTGCAAGATCTGCTTCGATCGCTCTTGGCTCCCTGAAGCCCCAAACATGTCAAGGCCAACAGCCCAAAAAGATGGTAGATTGATCGTCTTGGTATGATTGGTTCTCACGTGCCAGTCCAAGTGGCTTAAGAATCATGAACACAACACATGCCAAATCTCCCCAAAATAGAAGAGTCAAGCGCTGAGACGAAGCATGTCACTCCAGCTGAGCGGCCAAGACCTCTGTGAGGTCCTTCAAGACCAGGATGTCTGTGTCCATGTAGATGCCTCGGAAAGTAAAACAAACACACAGTTGTTTGAATATCTCAGACCATCCATGGGACTGGAATATATTATGCCTACATTGACCCCTGAAACCAATCCAATCTTTGAAGAAGAGGGGGCTCGGAGTAGAACCCCCCACCAGCTGTTCGCCTCAAGCCTAGGTTCCAGCATTTACTCATCATGCAATACTACATAATGACATAATACTACCCTCTGACTTCTTGTTGGATCCAGGTCAAGGCTTCACACATCTCTCTCACCATTCCTGGACACCACCAGGGAGCTCCCTCTCCTCTACTGTCATCCGATCCGGCCGGTGCGGAAGAATCCTCCCATCCCCTCCGCCTCCGTGGTGATAAATCAGCGCATAGCGGATCACGTCCGACCGGGCGCCGTGGTCCGGCAGCCTGGAGAGGGCGGAGGGAAGTCACGACGTCCGTCACGTCCGTGTCCGTGCGCGGGTCGGGTAGGGACCTTCAGACCCCAAAAGGCGCAAGGGAGGCACAAAAGGAACACCTCTGAGGCTCTTCTATGAATTCATGAGGAATTCTTAGAAAGTACATGAGTTTCTGCTTCAACACCTCTTGAATTCTGAGGAAAATTCCGCATGCTTTCCGAGAAACTCTACAGTTCTGACTTGGACAGCACTTAGTTGGGCTCAAGTCGAAAAACACTGGAGATCTCCTCCTTGGCATCCGCTTATACTAATCGCAGCTACCTGACTATGGCTAAATAGGACTCCTGCAACTCTAGAGCCCCCCCCCCAAGGATTGCGCAAACCGCAACACTGCCATCCTCATATTCCCTTCACAGCACCATCGCCGTGTCTGTTGCGTAAAAAAGATCTGTGCTGCCTGAAGTACTCGGCCGGGAGATCCGGGATGTACTCTTTGATGTTGGTGTTATTGAGTAGGACCTTGTCACACGCACTGAACAATCGCAACGCTCGCGCAATCAATCTCAGAAAAAAATTGTTTCTGAAAGACGACACCTGTTGTATTTATGAACTTAGAGGGGTAGACGAAAGGATGATTGATAGGCATCCCTCAACACCAACTATAGAGAATAGTGAAAGGTCCAGGGAAGCTTCCAGATTCTAGTGTTTTATGTTGTTAGGGGACACTCTGTTACACCTTTCCTTCAAACGATTCAGGGTGTCACATATCTTGGGCAACCCCTTCACATGGGCATGATGAGCAGGCTGCCACCAGGAAAGCACTGAATGCCATTCCACACTGAGGCTACTTAAATCCTGAAAAGAGTGAATCACTGATTATATAGTTAATCAAATCCTTAATCCTGATGTCCTTAACAACACCGGTGGAAGATTGAATGGGGTCACTAAGAAGGCCCTGGGATAGCTTTTGAGATGACTTTGCAATTGTGCAAGGTCCAAGCGGTGGTTGGTACGTACACCAAGTGTGCCAAGCATTCACTATAGCTTGTGCTAAGTGCTACTGTATGTACCTGCGTCGACTGTTCACCATTGGCAGCCAATACCAAATACAAGGTTCCACCCCCAAACATGTGTCCTATATATATATATAGTTCTTTCATGGAACCAACACCATGCAGTGATGCAACCTTTCACACCTGTTTGCCAGACCATCTCCTAATTCTCAACCAGCCACTGCGTTCTGACCCTTTCACCTCCCTTCCAAAATGCAGCCCAAGCGCTGGAGGGCCACAGCGCCCATGGGAGTGCTTCTCCCACGACTCCAAATCCTTCTGGATGAAGAAGGGCACCTGAAAACGGCCACTGTTTAGGATCGAAGGAATGCGGTCAACGTGTTTCGATGTCTTTCCCCATGTCTTCGCTGATGCTGCGCTGCGCTGCGAAACTGCCATCATGTCTGTCCAATCTGTCCGATCGAACACCTGTGGTTGTTTCACGGAAGAGGAAGCCTGAGCCAACAGCCATTGAGTTCAATATGGGCAGAATGGGGGCCATTGACCATTGACCTTTATTGACCTTGGGAAACGGGAGGAGAACCGGAGGTTCGGTGGTCGCCCGAAATCTTCAACGCCTCGGAGAGCCAGGACGGGCTGAAGTCTTAGATCGAAGGTTGGAAGACGCTCACGTGAGAACTGACCACAGCTAGAGTCTATAAAGAGAAATACATACCTGGACCATCCCATGGGTGTCCAATGGAGATCCTTAAGTAGTGTAGGGTAGTCCATTGGACACCCATTGGATGGTCCTGGTATAGATATTTATATACACCTACAGCCTGAATGACCGCGTAAGCCGCTAGTAATTGCTAGATCGCTCTGTCAGCTTTGGCTTGGGGAGGGGTTGCTTTTTTGCTCTAGAATGTACTGTTCTTAACGTTCGTTACAAGCCGATGAAAAAACGAGCAAATCGTTGGCGATGTTGGTTAAGCTCACCGAGTGAATATGCTTTATTGACATCGTGCGTGCTTGCCTGTGGCCTTGCCGAAACAAAACAATACAACTATTGATAAGCGAGTGCGTGTTTGCATCTGTTGACTTCCCTATTAGGGCTGATTGAGTGCAACACGCCTAAGATAGGTACCAGCGTAGTCGATATCTAAGACACAACGTCTGGTAATAGGGGGACACATCACTGACTAAGTTGCTTGTGGGGTGTGTGTTTGGTGCTAAAATTTCCGTGCGGGCGGTCTTCGCCGCCAAGCCGTGTGAATAGGGTCTTTTCCTATTAAGGAGGTGAAATGGGAGCTAGGTATATAAATCTCAACAAAAGAACATCATACAGGGATACAACATATGTCTTTAGACTATCCCAACAATTCGGTCCTGGTTTGACCTCATCCAAAAATGTGAACTGAAAATACTCCAGGAACCATGTTGCTGGCAACAGCGCATAGATAGCTGGAATCCTCAGGACAAATACATGCCCACAGGGCTTTGTAATTTGATTCATCTCCAAAAGCTCTTTGATGTGGTAGATACAAGGTTCCAACACGTCAAAAAAGTCACTTGTCTGTCTATAGCTAGTAGCACATGTGTTAATGACATGATACCGCTTCATACAATGCACGAGTGGCCCCTGAATGCCACCCGTCCTGCCTTGCTGGGATGATAGTCCCACATGGCAAAGATCTTGCATGCGCCCCTGAAGCCGTGGAAGTCTTTTGTTGAGGATACTCGACTCAAAAAGGGATGCCTGCAAGTCCAAGTATGGGGTAGTGGTGTTCATCCAAGATATTATAAAGGAAGTCAAACTCTATAACTTAAATGGACGACAAAAGCACCGTGCTGCTCAGTGCTGCTCTGCTATCGGAAAGGATAGTCGAATCTCCTCAGACAACTGTAAATGGAGCTGAACTCTTGCCACTCTTTCAAACCCTGGCTTCTCATAGACTCAGCCTGCAGCAAGCTTGAGAGTTATCAGGATCAAGTTAAATTAGCATTATTCCCATCACAAACAACATTCTATCCCCCCCCTTCGGCCACGCAAGAGTCTCCTTCGGCCACGCTCGAGCCTCTGATCCTTCGTCTTCAAACCCAACACGCCCAGTGCTGACAACGTCAGCAGGGCGGCCGCCCTCAGGGTGGCCATGGCGCTTCGTTCGGGGGCCGCGGTCGATCCACACGCGCGGCACTGGAGCCCGGGTGCAGCCGCGAAGCGCAGTGTGGAGGAGCCCAGGGTGGAGGGGCTGAATTTACGTGGCCGGTATTCAATGGCATATGGCAGGTGGACGTTGTTGGTGATTAGTATGACACTCCATTTGGTAGATGGGCACTCCAAGTAGCTGCGAACACGGATACGAGATGTTACAAGTACCTGTCTTTCAGGCTCGTGTCCGATTTCATTTTGCAGGTTAAAAACTCTAGACTCCATGTATGTTAGCTGGGCCTACTCCATACCTACTCCATGAATCATGGAACTCTTGCGGTGGGCGAAAGGTGGATGAAGGCACTGGGTGTCCCATGGTGTCCCCCAACTGCTGGTTGCTGACCCCTGTGATTCAAGTTTTAGAAAGACTTGGTGAGATTGGAATAGACCTGATGTCTTCCAGTTCCCAAACAATTCATCACATGGGACATGGATCCCCAATCTTTGTGAGACACTCTGCTGGAAGTTGAGGGACAACAAACGGATGGGAAGTCCGTCTTGGCAACATGTGCATGTGCTTCTTCATGGTTCTTCTTTATTTGGGAGAAAGTAGCATCCAATGGACTTCCAATATGTCATCACCCAAAAAAACAAGACCAAGAGATTAAGAAACCCACTGCACCTTCCCCCCCCAAAATCAATCAACATGCACAACATCAATCAAAAATTACATATCAAACACATATAAAAACGTTAATGAAATCCACTCACTTTTGCCTAAGAATCTTCCTTCCCTTGAAAAGCTTGGAGGACCAGGGCTGGGAAGTTGTGACCAGGGCTAGGAAGCTCGTCATGTCAAACCCTGTCCTCAATGGATCAAACCGAGCAGCGCCCGTCCTCCACTTTGTGGATCAACAATCCACACAAATTACGTGATGGCTTGATATGGTTTGGATAAATGGTCGTGACCTCTTTTGTTGGGGATGTAAGTGGGTCTTGGGGCAAATGCCAGCTACAAGTCCACTTGCAACAGAAGGTAAGAAATCCTGGCAAAAACAGATCAAATCAAATCTCAAACAGCTGCAACCAGAAACCCAGTTCCCTTCCAGGCAAACGACACCCCGCAGTGGTCTCGCTGTGTTTTGGCTCCTTGTATTTACCAAATCTTGACATGCTCACAGGTCACAAAACCAATCGCCTGGACCATCCCAAGTGTTCATTCCTCTCATGGGATGATGTTGAATTGGTCGAGGTTTCTTTTGCCTTTGGATTTTAAATGTTTCTAATTAATGCTCGATGTGAGAATCCAAGATCTCCAGGCTTGTCTGATTCTTCCACCGAAAACCGGTGGAAGAATAAGCCAGGGAAACACATCAGGAAACTGGCCCAAGCAGGAGCAAAAGAAGGCAAATGGACATGTGCTACTTTGTCCTTCTCAACTCTCCGAAGACTCGTGTTCAACCGCTGAAGAGTCGTTGGAGACCTGAACCATCTATCAACGTCCCACAGTAAGCTTGCATCCAGCAATGGAATAGAATGCCTCAGCTTTAGGTGGTGAAGGCAACACAGGTGTACTGGGAACTCTATGTGGGGATAGTACTTGTGCCAAGCTAAAACAGGTTTGGCAAACAGAAATGCTGTAGTGACCAATGGTTAGCGCTGGTCATAACTCCAGCCTATATTATACACAATGGTCAATTAAACTGACACAAACATAAATGCAAACAAAATCAAACAAGTTAGTTAATTACGCACCGGCTTACAAAACATATTCTAGACCCTCGAACTAAAGGCCAACACATGTCCACAATGATCCACTGTACATTGGCTTCAGTTGCAATTCCCCTACATCTCTCGCCTTGGGCGACGCGAACGAGCCGCTCGTGACATCGCGCTGAAGAGATCACAGAAGTCCAAACCACAAGGGCACTCCTTAGGCACTCCTTACAATAACAGCTCTTAACTTCCAGACGATGATCTGTTTTCACGCTTAGGAATTTGAACTAACTAGACTTGAGGTTGTGTTTTTTTCCACTTTTGAAGACTCTGCCACCATCTGCCACCCCGCATGACCTCTCCAGCATGCTCGGTCTCGTTCCACTACGCGTTCGGTTCGGTCGCTCATCGTGCGTAGAGGCTCGGTCCACCCTCATAGGGCGCCGGCACCACCTGACCGCCGTTCGCATTCGCATGACGTTCACTGCACATGGAGGGCTGGTAGAAGGTGGTACAAGGTGAAATCGACATAGATGCTAGACATCGGGAATATTCAGGAATCAACTAGTAACAAGCTAACCCCCTCCCTATTGATCTATCTATTTGGCTATGGGTCAAAGCGAGCTTCACCGACACCAGGTATGGGAGGGATAGGGAGATACCGGGATAGGTCTGTCGCCTGTGGGTTGCATCACCGCCATTTTCATACATGGAAAGAAACAATCAATTTCCATGTCCAGTTTGCACTTGCCTATATAGGTTATATATTTTGCTTCCATGGGTCTTGTTTTTTGGTCCCTTGTCTCATGAGGCACATCAAATCTTCGACTCCGTTTCGTTTCGATTGTGTCGGATCTGTTTCTGCTGTTTGCCCCTTTGTTTGTTTGATATATGTTTCTTGTCCCTTCCTGCTTGGCTGCTTGACCATGAACAAACATCTCATCCAACGTCACATCACGTCGACTCCAAGCCCAGCCCATGAGCCCTCCCACTCGGTGGCCAGCAATGTTGCTCACCTGGGGCGATCGCGGTTTCAACGAATCGACCACTGTGGAACATATTCGCAGGAACGGGTGGATCAGGATCAACAATAACACATGGACATAATGATTCCGACATCGAATTGGTTACAAAGGTGGCTACCTTCAAAAATCATATGATATACAAAAATCAAAAAAAAGGTGGCTACCTTCCAAAATTGGTTCAAAGGTGTAAAGGTGCCTACCTTTTTTTTTCACGCGTATATTTACGTATATGAGACACTGCAGTATTAGATCCCGGAAGGTTGCGCCCCGTAAACTGTAACTGCGTATCCTAGATCAATGACCTCGTGATGCAAGGACTTTAGACATCAAGGACAGGCCTCAAGTTCCTCGGAATCCTGATCTGAGTTCCTTGTAGTACCGGGCTTACTGACAGTTGCTTGATGTTGCTTGCGTGCAGCAAAGCAGCAAAGAAACTTCTTAATTGCAAACAATTCTCGATGGACATCTTCCAAAAAACTGCGGTGTGCAACTCAAACCATTGGCCCATCGGGGGCTATATTGAGGGGGTACTCTACCCATTGGCCCAAAGGAAGCTAGCTGTATTGAGGGGGTTGACCAAGTGTATGCCGATTAGACACCTTTCCATTGAGTGCCTTCGACCTCGATCGGAGCCTTCGACGTTGAACATCGAAATTCCTTTTCTTCGGCGGCGATGATTGAAGAGTTGCTCAAATGTTTTCTCAAAGAGATCGTATGACTATAGTAGGATGAATCAAGGAGTTCACTATAGGACATCTATAGGAAGATGGTCTAGATAAATCAAGCACAGAAAACTCCACCCACCCAGTAGCGAAAGAGTCAAAAACCAATGCAGGCCGGTTGCAGACCTGCAACCGGCCCAGGCAACTTACCAACGAGGTGAAACCACCGACCAACCCACTTCCAGGCCCACCAACCCTGTCTGTCAACCCTGGCCGTGTCGGCAATGAAGGACAAGGGCGACTCATCATCTTCTGTGAGATGCGAACTCCTGGTTTCAAGAGGCAGAGGTGCCAAGAAACTGATGGAAAGCAATATGAAGCAATCACTGAAGCAATCCTACGCGACCTGGGATAGAGAAGATTGTGGTTTCGACAGGCAAAATCCACAACATCAGCATAAGTAAGTATATAGCTCTATAGATGCCAAGGTGTTAAATGTCATCTTGGGCGCTGGTCGTTGTGGATGTATCCTCTTCATCCACTCCTGATTTCATCTGTATTTCCTCATATGTTTTAGACCATAGGAGACGCTTCTCAAGCAATCTTCCCCTCCAGAACAGCAACTGCATGGTGGTTTCAACAGTTTCAACTCCCACTTTTATGTTACATGCTCAATAAACCCCTAGTATAGCGTCTCCAGCAAAAATGCATGAATCAGCCCCTTTTCCACCCATAGGTACTTTGATTTCTCAGTTGGATCTTACCAACGAGCCTTAGAGGTGCTTGGAATAGTGCTTGGTGGATTGAGAGTTCGATGGCACTGGCAGGGCCCCCAGTCGTTAGGTGGTTGATATCAATGGACCCTCCATCTGTCGTCTAGACATCTTCGGGCTATTCGTGCAATCTACATGTTTTTTGGCATGTAAAACAACAAGTTGGGTGGTTTTTCTATGGACCCTCCATCTGTCTAAGACATCTTGGAGTGCCAGTGCCATCTACTTGCTCTATGTTAAGAACCCTCCACCATCGACCCACCTGGCCCCGCCACACACGATCCAACCGGCGCACGTGCGCCCGGCTCCTCTCCACGTACACGACGCCCGGATCAGCCTGCGATTCCGGATTGGTCGACCGCGCCCATTGGTCGTTGGCTGACGTGTACTTGGCTGGTCGTTGTGGAACCGGACTCATACAGGAGCATATCTGTTTGGCATTCCCTCAATACGGAACAAAGATGTAGCCAAACCGAGCAGAAACCAGGTTTTTGTCTTAATTACACTCTTGACGAACACCTCATGGCATGGTCCCAAGTTGGTTGGTCCTGCCCATTGCTGGGTTATGCTGAGTTGGTTGGCCTATCAGGGCCTATCAACAACGATCACTTCTGGAATGGTGATGACTGCAAGTGGATTTTGATGGCCTACGGTCACGGGCAAACATCGGTGGTGAAACCAATCCTCACATAAAGGCCCTATAGTGAAACCTCTTTAGAGCGAAGGCACATCCCAAAAAGCTCGCTATGCCGCCTACCCATCCACCGCCCACCCCGACGCGAGTCTGTGAGTCGCAGAAGCGAGTCTCAAGAGGAACGTGGGAAGAG